CTGCTACCAGGTCCCCTCTCAGCCTTCTTTTCCTCAGATGGAAGAGTCCTGGATCTCTCAACCTTTCCTCATATGGCTTGCTGTGTAAGACGCTGATCATATGGGTGGCTCTTCTTTGGACTCTCTCAACCTGGTCTGTGTCTTTGTTAAAGTGTGGTGCCCAGAACTGGATGCAGTACTCCAGCTGCGGTCTCACCAATGCGGAGTAGAGCAGAAGTATCACCTCCTTGGTTCTACTGGAGATGCATTGATTGATGCATGCCAAATTATTACTTGGCTTACTGACTACAGCATTGCACTGCCGGGTCATATTCATACTGTGGTCTATTATTACCCTCAGGTCCCTTTCATTCATGGTGCTAGTCAGTTTGGTGCCACCAAGCCTGTAGGTGTGCTGGGGGGGTGCTTGTCCCAAGGTGGAGCACTTTACATTTCTTGACATTGAACTTTATCAGATTCCAGTCCGCCCAACTTGCTAGCCTGTCCATGTCTGCCTGTAACTGTAACCTATCTTCAAGTGTAACTACACTTCCCCATAACTTGGTGTTGTCCACAGACTTGGTCAGTGAGCTCTTCACCCCCATATCCAATTCGTTAATAAAGATGTTGAAAAGTACTGGACAAAGCACCAACCCCTGCAGCCCACTTCTCACCAGGATGACACAGATCCATTCACTATGACTCTCTGGGTCCTATCCTGCAGCCTGTTTCTCACATACTTGACTGTCTCAGAGTTAAGCCCACAATCCTCCAATTTTCTCACAAGGACATTGCGAGATACTAGATCAAAGGCCTTTTGGAAGCCTAGGTATACGATGGCAACCTGCTGTCAAGTTACCTGGTCATAGAAGATGAGGTTTCATAAGGCAAGACCTGCCTGTGATGAAGCCATGCTGGCTGTCATTCAGAATCTTACCTTCTGCAAGCTTATTGCAGATAGAATCCTTGATGAACTTTTCTAGGCTTCTCCCTAGGATGGAAGTTCAGCTGACTGGCCTATTGTCACCCAGCTCTTCCCTCCTGCCCTTCTTGTGGATGGGCACAACACTGGCCCTCTTCCAGTCCTCAGGGACTTCTCCAGAGCACCACGAGTTGTGTAAGAGTTTTGGCAGGGTTTCCGCAATGGCTTCGGCCAGCTCCTTTAGGACTCTCAGATGAAGATCATCTGGGCCTGCTGACTTGTTTACTTTTAATTTTATTAACTGGTTATACACCAATTCTACGGCAGTAGTAGAAAGGTGATTATTCCTACTGTGCTCATCATCTACTCTACCTTGCGTGGTTTTCCCCTTGGTCTGGTGAACTTCCTTGTTTAAAAAATTTGCAAACCTTATTCACTACGACTAGAATGTGTGACAAGTCACCTAATTCATATAATACAGCTCTGATTCATAAGTAAATTATTAATACACTTCGTTCACAGGTTCTCATCTTCATATGCAAATATAAGTATTCAAAGAAATTCCAGGTGCTGCCCAAACATTTGTGTAAGCCAAACCAATCAAGAATTGCAATTGGGAATTAGTGTTTTAAAAGGATGAAATTCTCCTATCTAATTGTAGAGAAATCTATTTAAGGCAATAATAAGAAGGGTTTTGGGATGTGAATCCCAGTCTTACAGAGGCACCTAAGAGGGAGAGAGGCAGGATTTCAGACACACTCTTCTCTTCAGTATTTTCTATTGTCTGCTTTTAGAGTCCCACCCAATCAGTATGCTGGATGCTATACATCTCAGTCGCTAGATGCCTCACTCTTCCCATTCTCCACATATGGAACTTGGGTTCCTAGCCTGAATTCATGAATTTCATTTCTGGAGTGAAGTATGCAACAGGTACCTATGTTCAGTACTGCCACACATTAAGTCGCTTTGTGAACCACTCCAGTCAGTACTCAGGCAGAATTCCTTTTCACTGAATAAACACAAAATGAATATGTTTATTAGGCTAAGGAAAGAAAGGTAATTTGTGACTTTCTAAAAGAAACAAACCAGCAGGGTGTTCTGTAGAGGATGTTTATGGACACTGGTCAGTTATGCCACTGTATTAATGCCATCTGTAAGAAATTCACATGCATCCTTAATGAACATACAGTTCCTTTACAATATCTATTGTTGCTGAGACATGAAGTCTAGTTGCTTAAATAGGTAAAACTCAAGGTGAAATTTGCTGTATTGAAGTCAGTAGAAATGTGGCCACTGATTTCATTGGGGCAACTGTTTCACTCTTAAAATGCAAATATTATTTATCCAAAAATCAAAAACTGCAAAATGTAAATCTCCTTTTATTTATCGAACAACAAAACAAATGCACTGAGGGAGTGTCTACACGTCACCCGATGTCGCTGTAGCGATGCACTACATTGCTGTACAACGTGCTATGGCAATGTAGCAATAACATGAGTCTACATGTGACTGGCAGCTACTTTGCCATAGCAGTACACTCCCCCCTTTTAGCATGCCGCTACAGTGAAGCAGCAGCTAAAACTAACTGTGCTGTGTGCGCAGTGCAGTACAGGTGGTTACTGCATTGTGCTTTAGCTTTTCCAAAAGGAAGTACTAAAGCACGGCACAGTAACAACGTTGCTGTAGGGTGGCGTGTAGATGAGCCCTGAGAGTAGCATTCATGCCTCACAGATTGTTAGGCGGTGTAGCTAGATTCCATTATAGATAACTGCAGACTATTACCATGAGTTAAATTCACCCTGTTGTAATTGCTGACCTAAACAGAGGTAAACTACAAGTGAAGGTAATATATTATATGTAATAATGTTAGAGAATATTAAGAAAACCTTGTGAATAGAAAAGAAAAGGAAAAACAAACAACCATGTTGGCTGGTTGTATATTGACTATAAGGAAGAAAATAAAATGGAATTATTAAGAAAAGGGGATAAAGAAACTAAAACTGGCATTACATTAGACCTGCCAGTTAGAACAAACTTACACTATTAAAAATAAGCATGGGAGCTGAATGTAGAAATTTTGTTGGAGCATATACAACTAGATTGCAAGAGCTTTCATGGGAAGAATATTTACCAGTATATTTAATCTGAAAATGAGATTTAGAATTTTTCTTCTTTCCAAAGAAACACTGCTAAGAGAAATACATCCTTTCTTCATTGCATTGGCAGACAGACAGATCATTAAACTCTATGGAGGTCAAATCTGAAGTCAAGGGCCCAGAACTGTGCTTTGATATGGTCATGTACATATGTACTTAGGCAGTGTCAACTGTCAACTGCAATTTTTACTTCAGAGGACAGAAATGAATAGCAACCGTTTTGTGCCCATTACAAGCTTGTCTTCAAGAAAGTGCTCCTTCTACCTCAGAGTCTCATGAGACCAGCTGCATTGTGTTCCCCAAGGCCAGTTAAAGCTTTCTGAGACTAGAGACTAAACTTTGTTTCTCACTGGACTAATAACTCAGATTGTTACGGGGCAGAAAACTAATACTTAATGGGGACATCTACACATGTATTAATGTGCTGCAATTATGGTGCGTTAAGTTTAGTACCGGTAATAAGAGGTACTAACAGGTACTAACTTAATGCACCCTAATTAGCACACTGCACAGTAGTGCCAGTGCAAGTTTTTTACATGACACTAATGCGCAACAGACTAATTCTACTGCACATTAGCATGACATTTGCCATGACATGCGAATATGCAGTAGAATAAGTCTACTGCGCTTCAAGTGTTTTGTGTAAACACACCCAGTGTAGCTTAGATTCCCATGCCATAAAAACTGGGGACTCTCACTGATTCAATTAAAAAAAAAAGCATCCTTTGCATTTTTTCAAATTTTATTTTTAGCAAAATCAACGAAAATGTTTTTGTACTTTATGTATATAGCGGCATCTATCTGACATCAACCTCTATTAATCATGGTTCTCTATGTGGGTATAGTTGCATGACTTGGATGCCCTTGTGTGTCCAGAATGAATGTATATAGACATCTACGTAGTTGTTTGGCCAGTGCATAGCTACTGTACATGGCCAGTCTATACATGCACACTTATGCATCCACAGTATAAGCAATGTAGTATTGCTACCCACTTACATGGCTAGAAGTCTGCCACTTGGACGCACAAAGAGAAACTGAATTCTGCCGCGAGTTCTGCTTTATAAACATAAATTAATCTGTGGGTAATAAAGTATTACTATACCTATTTGAGAGAAGGGAAACTTAAACAGAGGGAATTTAAAATGCTTTGACTAATAACACACAATAAATCATTAGCAGGACTAGAACACAGATTTTACAAATCCCTTTGATGTTTTAATTTAGTTCCTGAATCTATAAAGATATTTCTTGCAATGAATATCACAGTAATGAATTTAGTCACATGATTCTAACTTCCTTTGCATAATTCTTAACTGTCAGTACCCACTTGTGAGATATAACCTCTAATGGTAAAGTGAGAAGAAGAGTAAAGCCAAGTACTGACAGATAATCTATGATTAGCTTGGATATTCCATTGAGATTATTAGGATGAGATTACACATAATAATTAGATCATGTTAAGAGCACTCAAAATTTGTCAATGAGCCTTAATGTGTGATAAGTCAGGTGCTAAATGCCCTCTAGGCATCTTACACCATCTCAAATGAAGATTATCTTAGAGTTGTGCTACCTAGTTTGAAGTATATTAATTTCTGGGTATTCATCTGAGATAAGCCACCAATTTGAAGTCCTCCAGTATTCCAGGAGGTACTGCTCCAAGATAGACTGTCATCCAGGACCCGATGTCCCTGAACTGATAGCTGACAACCACTGGATAATAGGTAAATGGGGAGGGAGGTAAAATGGGGGGAGGAGGGAACTGCCAGGCTGTCCACCTCTACTTCCAAGTTGCCCCCTCCATATCACCTTCCCTGCTACCATGATCTGTCCCCTCCACCTTGGATCACTTGCCATCCTGATCAGCTTAAGAGCAGCAGAGGCACCAGTGATGAGGAGAAGGTTGCCCTTCCCTTCCTGGTCCTTGGGGGCCTGGACACCACACCACCCACATGCACCCAGATCTAGCTACCACCAGGCCCTGCAACTGAAGGTGGGGGCGGGAGGGAGGAGCAAGGTAAATCAGTGCTGTTCCCCCAACCATCATCACTGCTCTTGGGCTGATTAGGGTGGCACAGCAGTGATCTTGGGATGGAGAAGCCAATGTGGGGGCAGCAGGGCAATTCAGGGCATGTGACAGGACTCGAGAAGAGGGGCTCCCCATCTCATCATAGCCAGTCCTGTCATCCCCCAGTTCCAATTCACCTGCCACACCTTGCTGGAAGAAAGAAGTGATTTGGGAGATGTCCTACCTCTGCCCAAAGGGAGCGTGGGTGAAAGGAATTTGATGACAAGGTCTCATCACTCAGCAGGACTTCTTGTGTTTGCTGGCTCACTATCTTATTTCAAATGTCACTTTGTTGGCTCCCCACTGGAGTCTGACATGTTATTTCACAGTCAGGGCGGCTAGGGTCTGGAACTAACTTCCAAGAGAGGTGGTGCAGGCTCCTACCCTGGGGGTTTTTAAGATGAGGTTAGATGAACACCTTGCTGGGGTCATTTGACCCCAGTCCTCTTTCCTGCCATGGCAGGGGGTCAGACTAGATGATCTGCTAAGGTCCCTTCCAATCCTAGAAACTATGAAACTATGCTTTGGCTTCCATTCATCCTGTAGTTTTGGGGCCTCCAAACTCTCTCTCAACTGCTTCTGGGCTTGTTCCCCTCCAGGGTCTGGAACTCAGAACCCAGGTTCAGTCAACAAACCACCTAACCCTCTATGCCACAGCAGAAGGTGCTTAGCCCTGCTGCCCAGCAAAGGTTCCTGCCTTATGCATTGCCTGTGTCTCTGACCTCCTCCAAGGGAAGGATATCATACAGGATGTTGGAGCACCCTGTTACGTAGCCTCCTCATCTCCCCTCATCTCTCCTGGTCTCCCAGGTATCCATCAAACAGAAAATCTCAACTTAAAGGTTCCTACTTGCCTCTGGGTAAACATACAGTCCTAACTCAGGGTTTTGCCCCTCAGGCCTGCTGCTCAAGCAAAGGGGAAAAAAACAAATCTCAGGCTGCAACGTGATCCCCTTGGTGGGTGACTTACTTCACCCATTATAGCCTTTCCTCCATCTGGGAAAGGCAATCCAATCTTTTCCATAGTCAGGGACTAACTGGCCCTCTCTCTTCTGGGGTGAGCTTTTATATTCCCTAGACTCTCCCCCTTTTCCAGTTGCCTGACCTACTTTGCTCTACCTGGCAGGAGTCTCTTGCTGTGTCTGCAGTATTTGAGCTTGCTGCTTGGCTTTCTCTGTCTCCTCCTAGGCTCTTTTTCTGACCTTAGGCCCCTGCTAGCCCAAAAGGGGCTTTCTGGACTTTCCCTTTCTTGGTAGCAACCTGTAACTGGGGGGAGTCAAACAGCACAGGCGGTTCCTTCCCCGCTCTCTCCCTGGCCTATCCTGTGGCCTATACTGTGGCTAGAGAGCCAGAAAGCAGGGCAGGTTTGCAGCCCTAAGCCATGCCCTTGCTCACTAGCCCTCTAATGAGCAGTGCACACCAGAGAAGGGTATTAACCCTGAACATGTGACTGGTCTCTAACACTTGTTACCCTTAATACTGGCTAACATTCCTTACAGGTAGCACCTGCTAACTCTAACATGCAATCTCACTCTTATCCTACATCTTTGAGCACATACTGAACAAGAAACCTTCCCGGCATATGAAGGCACTATTTCTGCTCTGAGTTTTAAAAAATAACATATTCTCACTCTTTGAGTCACAGTGACACTGTAGAAATTTAAATGTGCTTGTACCTCACTGTGATACCTACCTCTGTTTAAGAAGGTGTTTGTTGTCCTCAATGGTCACATTATCAGCATAATCCCTCTGGAAAATTTCAAAAGCCTCCTGACGTCCAAGTGACATCTCTCCTGATCCATCTGCCCAGAAATTAATTCAAAACTGGTTCAGTGACAGTGAAATAAGAAGTTTCATATCTGCTTTATTACTGTTTTAGAGAAGTACTACAGCAAGCCAGCAAAGGAGCTCATTAGCATGCAAAAAGTCACAAGCAAACCAAGCTCCAGGTTCTGCCAAGAAAAAACACATTTTTGGACCAAGATATTTTCTTTTTCCTGACAAGTTACATTTAGATTCATTTCATTTGAGCATCCTCACACATGACTTTTTGATGTGATTCTTTTTTTTTTAAATAGCTTTATATTTTTTCTTAAACAAAACCAGAATGTTAGCATTCCAGGCAGCAGAAACATTTAAAAATGAAAATCAGTAGCATACCAAGGGGTAGGTGAGAGGGGCGTGGGCACTGGGTGCCAAGTTAGGAGGGGCACCAGAATCATCTCCCAACCCCATAGAGTCCACATCCTGGCAGCAAGAACAGCTGCATGGCTTACTCCTGCCGGGAAGTCCAAAAGAGTCCCTGCCTGTTGCTGCTGCCGCTGCTGCTTTAAAAGCATCAGTGCAGGGTGGGCAGAGCATGTGGCAGAGGCAGCAGCAGCTCATCCAAAGACTGTTTACAAGTTCTTGGCATGGGTAAAACTGCTGAGTGCCCTGTTGCCCCCGTTCTTGGAACTCCCTTCCCACTCTCCTGCATGGTCTGCCCAGGGCGCCAACTCTGCTCATCACCCCTCTGATAAAAATAATTTTTTTCTATGAAGGTAAAATGTACATTTGTTTCTATATTTCCTTTTCTTCCTTTATTCTTGGATTTCAATTACCTTGCTGTGAATTGCCTCTGAGTATGTTAAATCATATTAACCCAAAGATCATACATCTGATGATTTTCTTTTTAAATGTGACTGTGTATAAAAGCTGACTTCTTTGAATCAGGTCTGTGTACTGCTGAGGCTAGGGGCAGAAATTACTCGTAAGTGGTATAAGTGATTGGAAACTGGTTCAGATCTTCAACGCAACAGAAGTTTGATGCACAAACTGCTTTCAAAATGGCTGAAATCAATTTAAGATAAACCTGGATGGACATAGTATCAGATTTAACTGATTTAGGTTAAATCGGTTTATTGAACTTCTGTCCCAGATCCCCTCCATATTCAAGTTAACTCACAGTCCTCCAGCAACCCAGGATGCTTTGTACCTCCCCCACAAAGCTCCCTTGCAGGGTGAGCAGGCCAGCCTTGGCCCAAGCTATCTGCTCCAGCAGAGCAGGGAGGTGTGCTTTAGGACACCCTGGGTTTTGCCCTGAGCCACTGCAGGCAAATGGCTGCATTTCCAGAATCAAAAGTGAGTGTCTGCTCACTTCCTTCTCTGTTAAATCTACACAGCTTAAACTAACCTGTGAAGATGAAATCAATTCAGCCTTGGGCTTTTTGACTCTCTGTACTTAGCCTGAATATATAAAAAGGGGTGGATCATACAGAACACTGTCTCACTGTTGTCCATGTAAGTGTGAGGTAAGAAGTAGTGAGAATGATAGGAAACGGAAAACAAAAATGCGTGACAATATTGTGTCCTTTTCTCCTCACATGTAGTAGTAATAATAATAATAATCATAATAATAAGGATGATAATGATAAACAGAATACAAAAGGTTTCAGCTTTGTTATTACTAGATGAACTAGACTATACTTTGTGCATGACTCTCACTGACCTCCTGCATGGGTCTGATTCTTGAGAAAGGTCTGGTTACAGAATAAGCAAGTAAGAGCAGGAGGTGAAATTACCATCTGTGGTTATAACAAAGTTGCTCGTACCTTCCTTTTCCACGTCTTATTGATTCATTTTCAGAATCATCAATGTCACTGGGATTTTTCAGAACTGGTCAAGCCAGATTATCATAGATTTCATAGACATTAGGGCTGGAAGGGACCTCGGAAGATCATCAAGTCCAGCTCCCCCGCCCAAAGGGCAGGAAGTCAGCTGGGGTCATAGGATCCCAACAAGATCAGCATCCAATTTGCTTTTGAAGGTGTTCAATGTAGGTGCTTGAACCACCTCCAATGGCAGGCTGTTCCAGACCTTGGGGGCTTGGACAGGTTTTTGCTGCAGGTTTTTGCTCCCAAGGTGGAGAACCTTGCATTTTTCAGTGTTAAACACCATCAGGTTCTCGTCTGCCCATTTGCTGAGCCTGTCCAGGTC